GACACCCAGGACAGAAAGGTTGAGGAGGAAACCGAAAGCTTTGGTCTGTTTGGTGAAGAACAGGTTGAGGAACTCTTCCTTTGGGGCTTGGAGGGACCTGTGGCACTCACCTGGGCCAGGTGACACCCCTGGGGTTGGGAGGGATCCCTGGAGCTCACCTGGGCCAGGTGACACCGGTGGGGCTGGGAGGGATCCCTGGAGCTCACCTGGGCCAGGTGACACTGGTGGGGTTTAGAGGGATCCCTGGAGCTCACCTGGGCCAGGTGACACTGGGGGGGTTCAGAGGGATCCCTGGAGCTCACCTGGGCCAGGTGACACCAGTGGGGTTTAGAGGGATCCCTGGAGCTCACCTGGGCCAGGTGACACTGGGGGGGTTCAGAGGGATCCCTGGAGCTCACCTGGGCCAGGTGACACCGGTGGGGTTGGGAGGGACCTGTGGCACTCACCTGGGCCAGGTGCCACCCCTGGGGCCGGGGGGCACCCCCTGAGTCCCTGCTGCCCCCCAGACCTGCAGAACGTGAACATCACGCTGCGGATCCTGTTCCGGCCCGTCACGGCGCAGCTGCCGCGCATCTTCACCAGCATCGGGGAGGACTACGACGAGCGCGTGCTGCCCTCCATCACCACCGAGATCCTCAAGTCCGTGGTGGTGAGTGCCTGGGTCACCCCGGGGTCCTGGAATTCCAGCCTGGTTTGGGGGTGGGGAGCTGGGAATCCTGGAATTCCAGCCTGGTTTGGGGCTGGGGGCCCAGGAATCCCGGAATTCCAGCCTGGTTTGGGGGTGGGGATCTAGAATCGTGGAATTTCAGCCTGGTTTGGGGGTGGGGACCTGGGAATCACGGAATTCCAGCCTGGTTTGGGTGGGGAGCTGGGAATCCTGGAATTCCAGCCTGATTTGGGGCTGGGGGCCTGGGAATCCTGGAATTCCAGCCTGGTGTGGGGGTGGGGAGCTGGGAATCCTGGAATTCCAACCTGGTTTGGGGGTGGGGAGCTGGAATTGTGGAATTCCAGACTGGTTTGGGGGTGGGGGCCTGGGAATCCCGGAATTCCAGCCTGGTTTGGGGGTGGGGATCTGGAATTGTGGAATTCCAACTGGGTTTGGAAGGGGGGGTCTGGAATCCCGGAATTCCAGCCTGGTTTGGGGGTGGGGGGCCTATCCCATTCCCAGCAGTTCCCATCCCGTTCCCAGCAGTTCCCACCCCATTCCCAGCGGTTCCCACCCCATTCCTGGGGTGCCCATCCCATTCCCAGCAGTTTCCATCCCATTCCCGGGGTTCCCACCCCATTCCCAGGGTTCCCACCCCGTTCCCAGCGGTTCCCACCCCATCCCCCCGTTCCTGCCCCTCAGGCGCGCTTCGACGCGGGCGAGCTGATCACGCAGCGGGAGTTGGTGTCCAGGCAGGTCAGCGAGGACCTGACCGAGCGCGCCGCCACCTTCGGCCTCATCCTGGACGACGTGTCCCTGGTGAGCCGGACACTCGCACACGCATGAACACGCGTGCACACGCGTGTCTGTGTCCGGGGGTCGGGCTGGCACAGCTCTGCCGCTGTCCCGTCACCTCAGACAGCCCCGGTGCCTCAGCCCTGCCCGTGCCGGGGCTGGGATGGGGCAGCAGCTCCACAGGCACCCCTGGAAGCACCAGGAGGGGAAACTCCCGCTGAGCCAGCAGGAAATTCCCACTGGTTCTGCTGCTGAGATATCCAGGGAGGGAGCTCTGCCTTCCCAGCCCCCTTAAAATAAAATTTACCCCGCCGGGAGCGCAGCCTGTGCAGGAGGTGACTGTGTGTGTGCCCAGGGGGAATCTGGACGCTGTTTCTGGAGCTTTTCCCCACTCGGGTGTGGATTTCCCTCAGGGGTGCCGGTGTCTGTCCCCGGGGCAGTGTCACTGTCCCAGCAGAGCCGCTGGCAGTGTCCCTGCCGTGACCTGACCTGTGTGGCTTTGTGCCCCCAGACCCACCTGACCTTTGGCAAGGAGTTCACGGAGGCGGTGGAGATGAAGCAGGTGGCGCAGCAGGAGGCAGAGCGGGCCAGGTTCATCGTGGAGAAGGTACCTGCTGCTCCTTTGGGGTTGTTCTGCTCTCCCCTTCCCGCTCCAGGGGGCTTTCCTTCAATATCCTGAGCCGTTTTCCCCGATTTCCAGCGTGAGCCCGGCTGGAGGAGCTCCTCCTGCCGCCCCACGGGGCAGATTGTGGCTGTGCTCTCTCTGGGCTCATCCCTGTGTGGGTCAGAGTCAGTCAAAGAAAGAAATTGAGAGTTTCCAGCCAGGCAAAAACCTGGGAAAGAGCTGGGAAGGAATGTAAATAATTCTTTATCTCTCTTGTTCTCATATTATTTATCGTTATTTCTATCACTGTGCATCAAGCACTTTACACCGATGCTGTGGTTTGTTTTCACTTTAGGACCATTGGATTTAACCTTTGGGAAGCTCTGTATAAAGAGCGGGTTATTTTGAATAAATCGGAGTTTCACTCTCACAGCCTTCTGAATCAGAGTCTTCTCACTCCCGTCCTGCCTCGACAGCGACATCCCTGCTTGGATCCGCCCTGGATCATCTCGGGGGCTCTCCAGTGATGGTTTCCATCTCACGTTTCACACCTCCGGCTTCGGGAGTGTCCCCAGGGAGCTGCTGAACCGAATGGGGATCTCGGGGTGGGGACAGACAGACCGAAAAATCACCCAAATTCAGCTTGAAATTACCTTTTTTTCCTTTTCCCACAGCAGGCACATGGGTTATTTTTTTATCCCCAGTTTGAAGAGCAGCACCCTAAACCCAAACCCGTTCAGCTGCCCCTGGCTGGGGGAGCCCCGTGGGGCGGCTCCGTCCGTCCGTCCGTTGCTGTCGAGGCAGGATGGGAGTGAGAAGACTCTGATTCAGAAGCTGCTGAGAGTAAAACTCTGATTTATTCAAAATATACGGTTCTTTTATACAGAGATTCACAAAGGTTAAACCCATTGGTCCTAAAGTGAAAACAATCTACAACATTGGTACAGAGTGCTTGATGCACAGTGATAGAAATAACGATAAACAGCGTGAGAACAAGAGATAAAGAATTATTTACGCTCTTTCCCAGGCTCTGCCTGGCTAGAACCCCTCAGACTCTTTCCCTGACTGAACCTGCTCCCCACGCCCCGTCCCCTGTCCCGCAGGCCGAGCAGCAGAAGAAGGCGGCCGTGATCTCGGCCGAGGGCGACTCCAAGGCGGCGGAGCTGATCGCCAACTCGCTGGCCACGGCCGGGGACGGGCTGATCGAGCTGCGCAAGCTGGAGGCGGCCGAGGACATCGCCTATCAGCTGTCCCGCTCCCGCAACATCACCTACCTGCCCTCGGGCCAGTCCGTGCTGCTGCAGCTGCCCCAGTGAGCCGGGAACGCCAAAAAAATAAACAACAAAAGGAAAAATGAGGGGGGAAAAGGAGAGAGAAAAATATATATATAAAAAGAAAAAAAAATCATTGCAATTTCCTCACGGAGGAAATGGAAATTTGGAAAGTGGATGGATTTCCTCGCGGAGGAAATGGAAATTTGGAAAGTGGAGGGATTTTTTGGGTTTTTTTTTTGGAATGGTGTCAAATAAAAGTGAACGCTCGCGCCACACCAGGCCTGCGGTTCCTGCCCTGCGCGGTCACGGCGCTGCCTTCGCTGACTCCGAGTTTGGGAGTCAGGAAAGTTTGGGAATTCAGACAGTGCCCTTTTTCCCTTTTCCAGGGGTGCCTTTTTCCCTTTTCCAGGGCTTCCCTTTTTCCCCCTTTTCCAGGGATTCCCTTTTTCCCCCTTTTCTCATCTTTTTCTGTGGTGCCTGTTTCCAGAGGTTCCTTCCCCCTTTTTTCCCTTCTTTTTCCCCTTTTCCCCCCTTGTTTCCCCCAGGACCCCCCGAGCTCTGCTCCTTCCCCCTGCCCTGCAGGGCCCTAACCCGGGATAATTCCTGCCCTGGAGGATGTGGGAAAGAGCAGGAAAAACATAGGAAAGAGCAGGAAAAACGAGGGAAAGAGCAGGAAAAACATGGGAATGAGCAGGAAAAATGTGGGAAGGAGCAGGAAAAATGTGGGAAAGAGCAGGAAAATTGTGGGAAAGAGCAGGAAAAATGTGGGAAAGAGCAGGAAAAACGTGGGAACGAGCAGGAAAAACGTGGGAACGAGCAGGAAAAACGTGGGAACGAGCAGGAAAAATGTGGGAAAGAGCAGGAAAACTGTGGGAAAACCGTGGAAAAGAGCAGGAAAAACGTGGGAAAGAGCAGGAAAAACGTGGGAAAGAGCAGGAAAAACCTGGGAACGGGCAGGAAAAACGTGGGAAAGAGCAGGAAAAACATGGGAAAGAGCAGGAAAAATGTGGGAACGGGCAGGAAAAATGTGGGAAAGAGCAGGAAAAATGTGGGAAAGAGCAGGAAAAATGTGGGAAAGAGCAGGAAAAACGTGGGAAAGAGCAGGAAAAACATGGGAAAGAGCAGGAAAAATGTGGGAATGAGCAGGAAAAACGTGGAAAACATGGGAAAGAGCAGGAAAAACGTGGGAAAGAGCAGGAAAAATGTGGGAAAAACGTGGAAAAGAGCAGGAAAAACGTGGGAAAGAGCAGGAAAAATGTGGGAAAGAGCAGGAAAAACATGGGAAAGAGCAGGAAAAACGTGGGAACGAGCAGGAAAAACGTGGGAACGAGCAGGAAAAGTGTGGGAAAGAGCAGGAATGATGTCCCAGGCCAGGCTGGGAGTGGGCAGAGGAAGGACTCCAGTTAAACCAGTTTGTTCCCCAGCACCAAGGACCCGTCCCGCACTCCTGTGGTGCTGTGTGAGCAGAGCTGTCCTTTCCACAGGCACAGAAACGTCCAGCACCTGCTCTGCTGATGTTTTTATTCAGTGATTGCTCCAGCATGAACTTTAGAACTTCCCTGTGAGGAATCTGTAGAGCGCCTAACTTAAAAAGGCAAAATAAAAATAATAAAATAATAAAAAGAAAATTAAAAAATAAATAATGAAAAATAATTTTTAAAAAAAGGCACAAAGGCAAGGCTAAGCAAAGGGGAGTTTAATTTTTTGGTGTTTTTTGTACATGGCTCTGATGGTGCACTCGTGTTCCCCAGACCCCAAAGAGGAGGAGCAGCCCCAGCACCAGGAGACGCTGCTGGCTGCCGGCTCTGCTGCTTGGAGGCAATTAATCTTTAATTGTGCCTTTGGCTGGGAAAGGGAACAGGAATTTCCTCTGCTGGAGCTCCCAGGGCTTCCTGCGGCAGAACCCAGCAGGAAAATCCCTTTGTTCCCCTTCTTTGCTTTCTCTCCCGTCGCTCCAGGGCATCCTGAGCAGCGGATCTGGAGGATAACCCGGAGCCTGGCTGGGCTGCAGAGGTGCCAGCACCGCCCGTGCCTCAGTTTCCCTTCCCGGCATCCTTGAGCAGCACCGAGGGCTCTTCTCTCTCTTCTGGGGAAGGAGAAATCGCATTCAGCTTCCAAGGAACAAAAAAACCCCCCAGAGTCAAACCCTCTGGAATTTGGTGTTTTGGCAGAATCTCAAACCCAGAGCCCGCTGCCACTTGGAGATGAGGAAGCAAAAACCAACCCGGAGATTGTGGAGTGCTGCCCCTTCTGCACGGCCCGTGATGCTCGGGGTGCCCACACCTGGCACCAGGTACCTGTCACAGGTGTGCCCTTCTCGCACTGCTCGGGGTGTCCATACCTGGCACCAGCTACCTGTCACAGGTGTGCCCCTTCTGCACGGCCCGCGATGCTCGGGGTGTCCACACCAGGTACCTGTCCCAGGTGTGCCCTTCTCGCCTTGCTCGGGGTGCCCGCAGCTGGCACCAGGTACCTGTCTCAGGTGTGTCCCTTGTCCCACAGCCTGCAATGCTCGGGGTGTCCACACCTGGCACCAGGTACCTGTCACAGGTGTGCCCTTCTCGCACTGCTCGGGGTGCCCATAGCTGGCACCAGGTACCTGTCACAGGTGTGCCCTTCTCGCATTGCTCGGGGTGTCCACACCTGGCACCAGGTACCTGTCACAGGTGTGCCCTTCTCGTATGGCCCGTGCTGCTCAGGGTGCCCATACCTGGCACCAGGTACCTGTCCCAGGTGTGCCCCTTGTCCCACAGCCCGCGATGCTCGGGGTGCCCGCAGCTGGCACCAGGTACCTGTCACAGGTGTGCCCTTCTCGCATGGCCTGCGATGCTCGGGGTGCCCATACCTGGCACCAGGTACCTGTCCCAGGTGTGCCCTTCTCGCACTGCTCGGGGTGCCCATACCTGGCACCAGGTACCTGTCCCAGGTGTGCCCTTCTTGCATTGCTCAGGGTGCCCATACCTGGCACCAGGTACCTGTCCCAGGTGTGCCCTTCTCGCCTTGCTCGGGGTGCAATGGCCGAACCGCAGGGGCAGTTCAGCGTTATTGGCTGTTAAGGGGAGAGGAGGAAGGTTTGGCACCGGCCCCTGACGGCAGCGCCCCGGGCCTGGCCCAGGGACAGCCCTGAGGGCTCCACCTGCCCGCGCTAATTACGGCGGGCCCGCTAATTACCCGCGCGCAGCAATGGGCCGAGGGGCAGCCGGGCCGCTCCATCAAACCCGCCTCGCCCCGCCATCACTAATTAGGGCACGGTCGCTAATTAGCGGCGCGGGGTGAGGAGCCCGCTGGCCTCTCCCCGCGCATGCGCAGCGCCGCCTCACCTGCGCCCCGCGCGCCTCAGGTGCGATGGCGGGAAAGGGGCGGCGGGAACGGCCCCGGCGGCGCATGCGCGGGGCGCCGCCGCCCTCCCCCCCCCTTCCCTCCGTTCCACCCGTGCGCGCTCCCGCGCCGCTCGCTCCCGGTGTCACCTCCACCCCACCGCTGCCCTCGGCTCGGGGTACGGGGGGTGTTTTGCTTTCCCCCGTTCTTTCCCCGCGCCGCCGCAGCACGGTCTGCTCCCTCCCCGCACACACACCGCAACCGTCCCGGCCCTTCAGGCGCGGCCCCGGCCCGCGCGCGCTCCCGCCGCGCCCCGCTCCAGGCCCGGGGCGCGCCCCCGCCATCCTCCCCCCCCCCCTTCCCCACCTCCGCCTCACCGAACCCCGCGCGCGCGCGCCCCCGCGAGGACCGGCGGCTGCGGCGGCGGCCACGTAGCGCTGCGGCGGCGGCGGCCGAGGGGCAGCGGGAGCCGCGTCCGCCCGCGGCGGCAGCGCCTGGGCCTGAGCGCCGGCCCCACGCCGAGGCAGCGGCGGCGGCCACCGGAGCTCGGGGGCCGAGCGGAGGGGCCGGAGGGAAGGCACGGAGGGAGGGCCCCGGCCGCCCTGCCCTCCGCCCTCCGCCGCCGCGCCCGCCCGCGCCCCCCTCCCCGCGCCGCCCGGCATGGACGGCGGCGGGGGCGGCCCCGAGGGCACCGGCCTGGGTGAGTGCGGGGCCGGCCGCGCGGCCGCCGAGCCCCTTCCCCCTTCCTTCCCCCTTCCTTCCCCCTTCCTTCCCCCGGGCCTGGCGGCGCCGCCGAGCAGCGCTAGGCCCGGCCCGGCGGTGGGCGGCGGGGGGAGCGGGGCACGGGCGCCTCACGGCCCGGGGGGAGCGGCGGCACCGGGGGAGCCCCGCGGCGGCAGGAGAGGAGCCGGGGACCGGGGGCTGGACCCGGGACCCGGGGGGGCTCCCCTGGGGCTGGGGGCTCTGCCCGGCTCGGGGGGCTCTACCGGGATCGGGGGGGTTCCACCGGGCTTGGAGGCTGTGCCCGGGCTCCGGGGCTCTCCCGGGTTCCGGGGCTCTCCCGGGATCGGGGGGGTTCCCCCGGGCTCCGGGACTCTGCCCGGGCTCCGGGACTCTGCCCGGGCTCCGGGGCTCTCCCGGGTTCGGAGGGCTCTGCCCGGGCTCCGGGGACTCTGCCCGGGCTCCGGGGCTCTCCCGGGATCGGGGGGGTTCCGCCGGGCTCCGGGGCTCTCCCGGGTTCGGGGGGCACTGCCCGGGTACCGGGGGGGTTCCCCCGGGCTTGAAGGTTCTGCCCGGGCTCCGTGGGCTCTGCCCAGCTCGGGGGTCTCTCCCGGGGTCTGGGGTCTCTGTCCCGGCTCCGGGGCTCTCCCGGGGCTCCGGGGCTCTCCCGGGGCTCCGGGGCTCTCCCGGGGGTCTGGGGTCTCTGTCCCGGCTCCGGGTCTCTCCCGGGGCTCTCCCGGGGTCTGGGGTCTCCGTCCCGGCTCCGGGGCTCTCCCGGGGGTCGGTGGCTCCGTGTCACCTGCCTGGGGAGGGGACGGACGGTGCTTTCCCGCAGCGGAGCGGAGGCAGCCCCGCATTCCTGCGGGATCGAGGTTGGCACTCGGAGCGTGCCCGGTCCGGCCGGTGCCACCCGCGGCTCCCGGTACCGCGCTGGGCTCGGGGGCTCGGCGGCGGCTCCCGGTACCGCGCTCCGGGTGTGAATTTCGGGCTGTTCTGTCCCTCCGCAGCCTTTTCCATCCCTGTTCTCCCCTTCCCTGCGCTCCCGGCTGGCGGTGCGGTGCGTGCGCCCCGGGGTTGGGATTTTGGGTGTGATTTTTGAGCGCCTTCCGCGCAACTTTGGGTGTCCCGGTGCGGGGCAGCGGCGGCGGCATCTCCTCGGGCTTACCGGAACGGCACGGAGAGCTCCCATCGCCGGTGAGCTCGGGGGCAGTGGGTGCAGGGAGAGCCCCGGAGGTGCAGCCGGGATTGAGGATGGGAGCTGGGCTCTTCCCAGCTGGAAGTTCTCTTCTGGTTCTCTCCCTCGCCGCCTGATCTCTGCTAAAAAAATGGATTTATTTTTATTTATGTTTTTTTTAAAGATGGTTTCGAAAGGGCTGTGGGGTTGCCAAGTGTGATTTTTCAAAGGGCTTTGTGTCTCTGATATCTGATCATTTCCCTCGTGTTTATCATACCTGATAATTTACCTGGTTTTACACCCTGCACCTCCCTACCTGTGTGCATTTCTCTGCTGCTTTTGTGGGTTTTTACCCATCTCCTGCAGCCCGGCGGGGTGCAGAGCCCATCCCTGCCCCGGGCAGGCAGCGCTGGAATTCCAGATGTGATCCCAAAAGTTGGGTCCAAACCGGCAGGGCAAACAGGGACGGGGATTCTGAGAGCTTTTCCAGAGGCTGTGTGAAAGAAAAGTGCGAATTCATGAAGGCTTTTTTGGTTTTCCCAGCTAAGCTGTTGCGTTTCCTGGGCTGCCAGGGGGGTCAAGGGCTGCTTTGGCATTTTTATTTTCTGCTGAGGGGAAGCTCAGAGCTGCAGGAATGGGATTTGCAGGAATTAAACCCCTGGGATTATTTGTTAAAACACCTTTGGAATATTGATCTGATCAGAAGATGCTTTGGTGTTGGAGGTGATTGTGAATTTTGAAGGGTTTAATTGACTTTATTATCTAATAATGCTACAGGGAGCCTTTAAGTGATGTTTTCAGAGGAAATCTTGCTGTGGGAAGGGAGGAAATGGGGATAAATCATCCAAAAATAGAAGATATTGGGGTGCTGTGCTTTCCTCCTCTCTGCCAGAATCACGAAATGTGGGGATTTTACCCCGAGAGCTGCAACTTCATCTAAAAACATAAAGTTTTTATCTATCCAGAGTCTCCTTTTGGGCTCAGAGCAGGAGATTCCCTGTGGGAAGGATTCCCAGAGCTCCGAGCTGGATTTTTGCAGTAAACAGGAGGAGCAGGGACGTGCCCAGAGCACACCTGAGATGGCACAGGTGGATTTCAGGTGCTTACAAAACTCCTCTCCTCACTGACCTATTTCTCTCTGCAGCTCTCAGGGGCCTGGCCAAAAAAAAAATAATTCAATTTATTCCTGGTTCCACAAAAAAATGGAAGAGGCAGAACTGAAAGGAGGCAGCTGAGGAGAGGGAGATTTCTCTGATATTATGTGAATAATTATTATATTATTATAGAAGATACAGTATTATATGTGGCATATTATATATTAATATATAATTTAATAGAGAGATAATATATTACACTTATATACTATATATTATGCATTATATTCTTTGTAATATGTCATATATTATATGATGTATGGCATATAAAATATATTATTTTCCTTCTCTTGGTTCAGTTCCTCCAGCACAGACTCTCAGCCTGCTCTGCTCTCTCCCTGCGAGACCCAGGCCCTCTAAAAGGGAGATAAAGTCAATTTTTAAAGATGATTTTACTTTTCAAAACCGCATTCATTTACATTTTGCTAAATCTCTGCTGTTTGTCCTTTCAGAATTTTATTAAGTGAGTATTTGGAGGTTTCCCCCCCACACACAATAATGAGAGGAAAAATGTGGATTTTTTTTTTTCTGCAAAGTTCATTTTATTCTCCTGAAGCTTCACCCTTTAAATATTAAAGCAGATCCAGGTGAGATCGCCCTGCTCTGTCCTGAGCTTCCTCAGGGGAATGTGAGGTGAATTTTCACAGTGTTTTCCACCAAAAAAAAGTGGATTTTTTAACCCATTCTTCCCTGGATCCCAGTGCCTCATTCCCATCTGGAAACACAAGGCCTTAAAATCCTTTCCAGCAGCTCCTGGGTTGGGGCAAAATTTAAAAATCTGGACCCAAGGGGTGTTTTGGGTGGGATCTGTCTGGGCTTTGATGCCTCAAAGAGCATTTTAATCAAAACCTGATTTTTTTTTAACACAACCTCATAGAAACGAGGCAAATTCCACCCCAATTTGTGCCTTTCCAGGGAGTTTTCCCAGGATTTGGGGGCAGAATTCTTGTTTTTCTGCCCTACAGCCCCCACCTCCCAGGCCCAATTCCCAAATTCCTGTAGTTTTCCAGCTGCTTTGGGACCTGGAATTTTGTGGGCTGCTCCTCTCTGGAGAGGAAAAAAAAATTAAAAAATGAAATAAATAAAAAGCAGGGAGTGAAACCCTGGCAGGTGCCAAGAGCAGCTCCTGCCCTTCCCGACACCCTTCCCTCGGGAGGTTTCGCACTGGGATTTTCCCAGCAATTCCCAGCAGCTTTTCCAGCACCTTCTGCTGGGCCTGCTCTCTTTGGAAATGGCATTTTCACCCTCTGTAAATGGGTTGTTTTCCCCTGGAAATGGATGTGGGTTTTTTCCCTGGAAATGGGATTTTTTCCCCTTGGAAATGGGATTTTTTTCCCCCCTGGAAATGGGATTTTTTTCCCCCTTGGAAATGGGATTTTTTTTTTTTTTTTTCCCCTGGAAATGGGAATTTTCCCCTCCAGAAATGAGATTTTTTTCCCCCTGGAAATGGGTTTTTTTTCCTCCTTGGAAATGGGATTTTTTCCCCCTGGAAATGGGGATTTCCCCCTCCCTAGAAATTGGATTTTTCCTGCCAGGGAAATGTCCAGGTAGGAATTCCAAGGTGGCTTTGAGGCAGGATATTCACACTTCATTTACACCTCTGCATATCCAAGGACACAGAGACACCTCCGGGGCCTCTCTGGGGGGAAAAATGCTAATTTTGGGCAAGAGATCTTGATGACAGATTTCCTTTTTGGAGCTTCCACCATTCCTGGACCTCGGGGTCAGTGGTGCTCAATGGGAAGTGCCCTAATTGAAATAAAATCTGAATAAAATCGTAGTGCAGCTTTAGTTTTCCTGAAGATACATCAACAGAGAGGGATGAAAATAAGAGGCTTTTTAAGGTGGGGAAAAAAAAATATAATAAATAAATAAAAAAAAAATATATATACACTGCCTGCTGAGTCAGCAAAATACCCAGCCCGGGTTATTTTGGGAATGGCCAAAAAGCAGCGGGATGAGGTGGGAGCTGGAATTCCAGCATTTACAGGATTTATCCCTTCTTCCCCAGGGTTTTGTGTCCCTGCCCAGGCTCTCCTGCCCCTACCCTTGGTTATTTCTGGAATGCTAAAGAAAAAAAGCTGGAAAAAAAGAGTCAGGTGAGGTGGGAACACAGAATTGTGTAAATTCTGGAGTTGTTTTCAGCAGGATTTCTCTTCCCCGATTCATTTTCAGGATCATTTTCCTGATGCTTTGAGGCTCTGC